GGGACGGGAAGAGGGAAGGACTGACACACACGCCCCTTTTCTGGGCAGCAGCCGCCGCCCCCACGCCGGCCCCCGTGTACCCCTCCTCCCTACCCCATCTGCCGCTGCGTCCTCCAAGCCCCCAACCCCCACCCCACCCCGCAGTGCTAGTCATTTCTTTTCAGGCGACAAGTGGAAGCGAAGGACTACTTAGAAACTATTTATAGGTGTCCGTGTTTCCCTCCCGGGGGTCCTCTCACTTCCCCACCCCACCCCCTAGACCACCATTTTCTGCACCGAAATTGGGCGCAGGGGGCGGGGCTGGGCATAGGGAAAGGCCTGGACTCTGTGCCATCTCAATCCCAGGGGTGACTGGGCAGCACTGACACTCATACCGATTTAAGAGGACGAAGGGGACTTACTTCCTTCTGCTTTTCCCCTCGACCAAAGGGCAATAGGCAGATGGTGTCTGGACAGGCAAAAAGGACCAAGACGAGAGGGACTTGGGCAGACACAGGCTCTGGTCACGTGAGGGCCGCACGTCACCGCCGAGCTCAGATCCCCAGTTACCACTTTGACCGGCGGCCGTGCTGCAGCAACCAGCCAATATTTCCTGACCCCCAACACACCAGACGTTGTCACTCACCTTTCTTTGTTTATATTTGTCTTTTCCTGGTTGCCAGAGACGATCAGCATCCAGTCTTGAGGGTTGTTGCCTCTTCTTCTCTGCCTCCTCCGCTGATAACGCCTCTCTCCCTTATTCTGTCATCAGCTACCAAGGCCCATTATTTCCCCTACAGTTCAGATCCTGAACTGAAATTTGACTATTTCTCCTTAATGAGTCACTGTCATACGCTACCTCTTCCAGTTTTAATCCACATTTATAACTCCATCGTGTCCGTTTAGGCTCTATCAGCATGGTTATCATCTCTTGTCATTTCATGGGAGGTAAACTTTCACTTTTCCATGACTTAACGATTTTTTTTGAGTCCCCAGACCTAAATCACAAATGGAAGCTCCAGTCAAATTGATAAACATTCAGTTCTAGAACTCTGGAAAGAATAAAGTTTGTAAAGTACATACATCTAAAAAGGCTGAGTACTTTGATTTTCATAAATCAAAATACACATTTTTGCATCTAAGTACAAATAGTTTAATAGTATTTATTTTCTGAAATGGGAGCATTTTTGGTGGAAAGCATGGCGTTATACATATATGTATACACGTGTATTTATATGACATATGTACTATGTATATATACTAGTCAGTAATTATTATTTATAATAGAAGAACAAGATTTTGCTGGGACTCTATATCTTTAACCAGCAACCTCCTGGTGTTGCTGGTTGAGGAAGTTTATATTAATTCATTAAATCAGCAAATATTTGGGTCCTGGGACTGCTAAACCCCAAAAGATAGATTCAGCACAGAGGACATTCTTATTAAACTATGCAGTAATGCAGTAATTCTATGGACCACACACGGAGCAGCAAGACTGAAGTCGTGCTAACATACTCAGTTGTTATTACGAGGATGTACTCTTGGATCTAATGGTGTTTTGTGATCTTCAGCTTCGTGTCTGCATCTCATATCAGCCTGGATGCTACTTTCTCATGCAGGTGCCCTTTCTTCCATAGAGCAGACTATATCTCTCCTCTCTGTATTTTACACTTTCAGGGTGAACATCAAATCTGTGAGGATCCTGGGATGTCTAGTAAGTTTCCAAACAAATTCATATGTGGAATTTCCCATTTTAAATGTTTTTGGTCGCTTTTCTCCAACATCTAATTTACTTTGTGTTGGGATAGCAGCAAGACAGATAATTAGTTTATCTGTGTATTTTTTCCATAACTTTTACTTTTCAGTTTTTCACTGATGTGTGTCTTTTAAGCCAAATTTCACTATACCTTCTTTATTCTTTTCACCAAGGGTTGGCTTCTTCATTTGTATGGTTTCTTTCTAAGAGGAGCCCCATTCATTCATTCTTCACGTCTGTCCTCTTTTCCTTATATCCTGTGATGGAGAACGCACTACCTGTGATGAAGAACTCATCCCATTGAAATTTCAGACCGTTCTAAGCATTCAGTGTCCCCGCCTCTCCGCCCCCACCGCTTTCGTTGAGCTGGAAACTGCCTCCCAGTAATTTATACACCTTGGTCCTGGTTCTGCCCTTTGGAGTGCTACAAAGCAAGTATAAAATAACAAAAGTGCCCTTTACCCTTGACAGTTTGACACTGCCAAAGTTAATGTTCCGATTCTTTCCCCTGCTCATCTGTGAGACACACTGGGCAATGTACTTAACCCTTCTGTGACTCTACTTCCTCATCTGCAAAATTGGAGACATACCTACATTACAGAATTGGTGAGAGAAATAAATGAGTCAGTATACATAAAGGACCTGGAGTAGTGCATAGCACATAGAAAGCACTCTATAAGCGTTAACTATAATAACGGTAACAATAATAGTATGATGTAGTACTAATAATACTACTAGTTATCATTCTTTTATTATTAACATTAATTGAGCATGTATGCCACACATTGTACTAAGCACTTTTAATATGCTGGCTCATATAATTCTTAAACAATGATTTTCTCACCAAGACTATTTTTTAAGGCTTAACTTCACCTCCCTAGTTATTTCAGTTATTTCCGATGTGATAATATTTGTTCAAAGTCGCTTATCATCCTGTATGCTCCTGAATTTGTAAGTGTCTCTGAAAATACTGAATATTCTGCCTCGTATAGAATGGAGTGATCTTACTATACCCTTCATTCTAGATAGCCACTATACATCTATAGATGCATCTGAAGATCAGAGTAGATTTTGTGGACGCCATATCACACAGTTGAATCCACTTTAAGTTGCAGTCAATTGAAACTCCCAAATCCCTGTTAATGCACTTCTGTAAGTCAGTTTAGTTTTAACCCAAGTGCAGGAGCTTCTGTTTTTCTGGGTTAAATGTTGTCTTGTTAGATTCACTGTCTCATTTTTTGAATCCAGGTTCTGTCGTACATTAATTACAAAATATTAATTTAAAACATACCATTAGTACTAAGTGGGTGATAAATTCAGCAAGTTCAGGAAAGATCTAGGGGAGATCTCAGCCAAGAGCTCTGACTCCAGATGAAGAAATTCCTTCTCCCTGTTGGGTGTGGCAGCCAGGAGTGTGCCCTAGAATGCCAGCTCCCCTCCTTTCCTCTCTCAGTGTGACTTCTTAGGGTGAAATTACCTTCTGCTGCTGCTGCTGATAGAAGACACAATTGCCCCTGAAAGCTCCTGAACCGGTATAAATTAACCCTTGGTGAGAACTTGGTAAACATGGGTGGGCAGACAAGGGACGTATGGGGAATTAGAACCAAAAGGAAGGAATGAAGACAGAGTCTTTGTATTGGCTATAAGTCTGTGCCTGACAGTAGCTCATTTGGGGTTCCCTGAGAGAAAGGGCTCTCAAGAGAGAACAAGGTGAAGGGAGTTCTGCCACGGTGACAACCATTTGTTACAGAGGAATGTGGTCTGCTACTTGTCTGCATGTGTGTGTGACAGGGGTGGGGACAGTGAAATAATACTTCTGATGGATTTGATTTGCTACTTCTCATTTAGGGTCTGTGTGGGTTAAACCCCCACTGCTGTGAGGGTTTAAATCTAAGGAACTCCATTTTAAAGGTGAGATAAGTAAGGCTCTGGGAGATTACACATTGTTCCCATAGAAACAGATGATAGTGAGGAGCAGAGGCAGGATTTAAACCCTAACAGTGCAACAGTAGAGACTGAAATTTTAAGCACTTTGTAAAACTGCTACTAGACAGTAGGCTCCAACCATGTTTACCCGTAGA